TGCTATATCAACATCGCTTGATGTTGCTATCTCAACATAGCGTTTCGAGGTGATAATGAAGTTCGGCCTCAGCGCTCGCCGCCCAATTTGAATTTTGTATAGGGCGACGATAATCAACTCTAAACACTGAAGGGGGGGGGGGTCCCTTTATTATCATCGGCATGCGGTTATTTGGCATGACAGGCCGTCTGGTCAGACATGCTCAATCGTGGCGCGGATAGCTTGGCTCCGTGTGGCAGGGAAGGCCCCCGAATTAATGGACGTAAGATGAAAGGCTCGCCGGAAACGCGACCGCAAGCACGAAGGATAATCGAACGACCGGCGAGACTTAGTACGAATGTTCCTCTGGTCTGCATGCTCAATCGTGGCGCGGATAACTTGGCTCTGTATGGCAGGGGAAGTCCCCAACAAATTCTACGTCAACGCAATGCTCGCCGAAAGCGCGACCAGAAGCACTAGGGATGATCCAACGACGGACGAGATCTGGCACGAAAGGTCGTCTGGGCAGGCATGCGGTTGGCGGATTCGTATATGATGCCTCCGGGTTTTCTTCCTGTATCATGCCTTTCATCATCCACTGTGTCTGGCTTGGTTGGTTTCAGGCGATCATTGGGTGGATCTTGCCTGGATAGGATAGGATTTATGGGTGTCATTTCAGAGAATCCTCCTGAGTAGAACATGGTTACGAAGATCTCCCATTACGTGCCACATTGTTACACTTTCTGGCGCAACGGCGCCCGCCTGCAGCGCCCTCGTTAGCGTGCACTTTCAGGTTTCTGGTTTCAGTCGTTCGTCCGTTCGTCGGCAGTCGCTCGCTCACGTCTCGCTTGTTTGGGCCCCCATCCGATCTCACAAGCTCACCCGAGCCCGGGCCACCATGCAAAGCATTTTGCTGCGCTGGCGATTGCACCTGCTTTCCCTGGACCCTTCCATCGTCATTGTCATCGCTTCCTCTCGTCGTCGCACGGGACCCTCTTGAAACTAGCAGGATTCGGAATCGATCTCCAGGAATCCCAGAACCTCCAAGAAGCGTGAACAACTCCTGGCCCCAATCCTGCTTTCTTCCACCTCCTTCCGCCATGACGACCTCCATCAAAAGACGACACCCTGACCTCTCCTGGGGCTTCTTCCCCACGCAGTGCTTGCAGTCAAGATTTCTCAAAGCGTTGAAGGTAGTTGGATGGGTCTACTAGAGTTTCGCGTGGGCGACAAATATACCCGTATCTGCGGCCTCGAGGTCCGGGCCCCTGGGCCGCGAACCAGCGTATACGGAGCTTTTTTGGGCAGATGCCCGTGCGAAATGTATCCGTGCGACCGCGTATCCGAGGGATCGCGCTTTGGAATCCAAACCGTGAGGGCGTGGATACAGATATGTTTGCCGCTCGTGAGCTTCGCCTGGTGCACGGTTGGTCGCTGGTCGTGTGCGCCTCGTGTACGCACCGTGCATTGGGTGGGTCTGTCGGGGTGTTGCCTGGCGCCCGGTGAGACAGGTCTGGGGCTCCCCGTGCGCTGGGCGGGCGTGGTGGGGTTGCGCTTGTTGCCTGGCTGGCCGCTCGTTCGCCTCAAGGGCGCCTTGTGCGCTCGGTGGGTGTGCCGGTGCGTCGCTCTTTCGCCTGGTGGTCGTTGGTCTGGTGCAGATTGGTCCACAAAGCTCGCGCCACACAGATTGCACCGCACATCTCGTACCAGGTAGGTTGCCCGGCATAGCGCGTACCGCACAGACTGCATCACGAAAAGCTTGCACCGCACTGAGTGCACCACCACGCAGCCTGCAACTCATGGGCTGCACCACCTATAAGCTGGCTTTGCTCAAGCCGTGCTTCGCCTAAGGGCCCGCGCCGTCCTCGGTATCGCCACTGGGGCCGCCGCGCGTGCTGACGCTGGAGACGCGGGTGCGGCGCGCCGCAGGGCGCTGGAGGCGACCCGCGGCGCGCTCCTGGCGGCCTCGCAGGAGCGGCGGGGTCTTCCTGCGGGCCGCCGAGGGGCTCCTCCGTGCGGCCAGCGCTGAGCTCGGCACGCGGGCCGCGCCCGCACCTCCGGAGCCGGCAGCCGCGGCCCGCCTTCGGCGGCGCCGCCGGCCGCGCAGCCGTGCGGGGCGAGGCGCCGGGGCGCCGCCTGGCGTGCTGGGTGCCCGCGACGGCGCCGCGGAGGAGCAGGAAGGAGGTGCGGAAGGTGCGGAACCGGGTGCTGGAGCGCAGGGCGGGGCCCCAGGCGCGACGGCAGCGGCGCGGGCTCGGCGGCGGCGACGCCGCGAGCGGCTTGCGAGAAAGTCGACGGCGGCGTTGGCGGTGGGCGGGGGGGCGCTCCCTCCCGTTGCGGCGGCTGGTGCTGCCGCGGCTGCCGAACCGACGGGCGACGACGACAACGACCCCCTGGAGGACTCCTGGGGGGAAAGGGCGGTGGTGCCCGCCGCGGCGGGCCCTGGCAGTGGCGCGGTGGCCGCTGCTGGCATGCCCCTGTTCGTGCGGCCGACGTGGAGATGAAGACGGCGACGGCGGCGGCGAAGCAAGCGGAGGCGGCCGCGGGCGCGGCGGCTGGAGCCTGCGGAGCGGCCGCAAGCGGCGGGGCAGCTGCTGGAGGGGCGCGCGTGGGCCTCGAGCTCGTGCACGTGCCGTTGGGAAGCGGACCCGACGCGGAGTGCGAGGTCGGGAAGATGGAGCCGTCGCCTGCTGTCGGCGGTGCCGCGGGCTGTGCCGAGCGGCCGCCCCCGCGAGGCGCGAGGGTGCGCGCGGCGGCGGGACGCTCGGGCCGAGCGCAGAACAGCGGCACCATCATGGCGGTCGTCCGCTTCGACCCCGAGGCACGGCCAAGGGCAAGTCCAAGGACGTGGCGGTGAACTTCGTGCACATCGAGTACGTCGGGGACTGAGCGAGTGGGCCCCTGAGGGAGCCTACGAACCGCGCGGTCGGGCGCGCAGAGCCCGGCTGCGTGGTCAATGGGGAACAAGAAAGGAAGGCGCCACATAAATCGGAGCACACAGGTTGTCCCACATAGCGTGCAGCACATCGACTGTACTACATAGCCCCAAGTAGATTGCAGCACATAGCTTGTAAATCGTGGGATGCACCGCGTAGCTTGCAGTCCATGTATTGCACTTCTAGCTTGCAACACTTGCAATGCATCACATAGCCTGCTCCACGTAGGCTTGACCACAAGTTGTACCATGCAGGTTACACAAGCTAGCTTTCCCCGCAGGTGTTGTGCTGCAGAGCTTGCACCCCGCACGTTGCACTACGTGGCTTGCCCCGCGTAGGTTGCGCCACATTGCTTGCAAATCATGTCCAACTGCGGCTCCGCGCGACCCCGCCACCTCGCTCGGGCGGGCGGGGGGGGGGGGGGAGAGGGGGGGTGCTGGGGGAGGGTGCAGGGTCCACCGAGCCCCCCCGTTTTTGAGCATTGTATTTGGGGCCGCTTTCCGCCGGGAGGGCAAAACGCGCAGGGCCGCGGCCGCGCAAATGAACGCATTTCGGGCTCGAGACGTCAGGGGGGCGCAGCTATTGTTTCTTACGTTGCGACAGGGCCCGGCGCGCGCCCGCCGCTACGAGCGCGGCGGCGGACATTGCGCCGCTTAGGTTGCACCAGAGAGATCGCGCCACCTATGTTTAATAGTGTTTCATGTGCAAACTGTTGTTGGTTCGTTTCGCGTCGCCACGACATCTTGTTTCTCTTGCTCATCCGTTGCGCAGGAGCGCGGATCTCGTATATCACCGCTGTATCTGAACGACAAATTGCGGTGCGTTCGTGAAACTGCTGGTTTGAAGGTGGTATGTTTTGTTGTGCGTCGTGAGCCTGATTGTTTGAGGGGGGTAGGTGTGTTTTAGCTTCGGGTGGTATATGGTTGACTTGCGCATAGCCCATATCATGAATCACGGGACTGGGAACCTCTTAGGCCGTCTGGGGGGCCCCTGGGCTGTATCGGGGCGATATTTTGGGTCTCTCTTCGGCTGTCTATGAACACCGAAAGCCGAAATCGGCGGCAACGACTGAATAATTCAAAACAGATGGAGTACAGTGATTGCCGTTTCTTGGTGCCCAGTCGCCGGAGCTGTTTTTGGAGCTGTCTTCAGGCGCTCTGGGCACCTCTTCGCCCGTATTGAGGCCATTTTGGGCGTGTCGGGGCTTTCGTGCGCCGTCGCGGAAGCCTCGTGGACCAATTGGACGGACCCTCCTGGCCCGTGTGGGGGCCCTTTGGCCACCGAACAATAGTCGCGCGGGAACGCGCGAGAAGGTCCGCGGGCGCCGCGGCAAGCAACACGGAGAAATCGCCACTTCGGGGCTTGGGCGCCTCAGTATGCATACGCTCAGGATGGAGGGTGGAGTGCAGGAGAGACATGGTGACACTCCAACTCGTGTTTCGGGGCACGGTGATGTCACGCATGCCGAGTGCAGTCATGCACCGTTTGGGGTCCACGTTCGCAAACATTTGGGCCTGATGATCTCAAGGGGCATGCGGCCGCGGTGACGAGCCGTGTCCCAGAGATCCAGAAAGCGTGAAGAGCGACCTCGATCGTCGATCCTTGATCGTCCTCATCCTCCTCGCTCTGCTGCTCATCCCCCTCCTCCTCCTCCTCCTCATCATCATCATCATTATCATCATCATCATCATCATCATCATCATCATCATCATCATCATCATCATCATCATCATCATCATCATCATCATCATCATCATCATCATCATCATCCTTCCCCCCCCCCTCCCTCCTGCCCTGTCTCCCTTTCCCCTCCTCCACCGTCCCCCCCCACATCTACCCCCTGGTGAGGTTTTCCTCCCTCCTTCCCCTCCTCCTTTTTTTGTTCTCCTCCTCCTCCTCCTCATCCTCCACCCTCCTCCTGCACTCCTCCTCCCTCCCTCCATCCCTCCCTCCCTCCGTCCCTCCCTCCGTCCATCCCTCCGTCCATCCCTCCTGCAGCATCCTTCCTCATCCTCCTCCTTCCCGCTCCCTTCCTTCCCCACTTCCCCCTCCCCCCCCGTCCCCCTCCCCGGCCGCCTGGGTGAGGTCAGCGCCTCCCTGCTCGTCATCACGAGCTACCTCTTCAAGCGTTCGGCGGACTCCGGGGCGCGACCCCGCACGGGGGCGAGGGAGGAGGAGGAGGAGGAGGAGGAGGAGGAGGAGGAGGAGGAGGAGGAGGAGGAGGAGGAGGAGGAGGAGGTAGGGAGGGGGGACGAGGAGAAGGAGGAGGGGACGAGAGAGGAGGGAGGAGGAGAGGAGGAGGAGGAGGAGGAGAATATGGGGGAGGGAGGCGGGGGAGGAGGAGAAGGAGAAGGATGATCGGGGCGGCCGAAAGGAGGGAGAGGAGGGATGGAAGGACGGGGTATGATATGACATCTGCTACGTGCAGCTGCTTTGGGCCTCACCGCCCGTCGCCTTCCTTGACGTATTGCCACCTCTGACGCCAGGAGGCACGAAATCCAGCTGCATGCAGTTGACTCGCCATTCCCTCGTATCATATCCCCACATTCTGTTTTCCCCGAGAGGACGAGCACCAGGAGCCAGAGGATGCTCGATTCGATCAACGTCGCTGTGCATAAAACGAAGTGGATGTTCGAAGTGCGTGTGTTTGTTTGGCACGTGGGAAGCCCTTTTCCGGGCCCCGGGACCATCACAAGTCCTCCCGAGATATAAACGAACAAACGAACAAACAAACATAAACAAATTAGCCAGGATGGACAAGGGAGGGAGGAGGGAGGAGGATCGCTCGAGGATTGCTGATGTTTGATTGATTATCTGCCTTGTGGGGCCTCT